TATTAAAAATAGGTTTCCAAAGAAACTTTACAAAGGCTATGAAAATTCATTTGCAGATTAAATTGCTAGAAATGTTGTCATAGTCATATGTATGAATTCACTTAGGCTGTGGGTGCTAATTTCTGAGTCCTAATTACTTCTAAATGTAACCTCTAGCAACTGTCCTTCTTCCTGTACAAATAAATCCTCACAGGATGAGTAAGATCAAAACAAATGTAAATGGTCATGAAATTCTGTAATGTTTATTTACAAAAATCATGTTTTATATATGTATGTGTATATATAAACATGTATATACTATAATATATAAACAATATACACACACAGATACATAAACCAGCATACAACTTTTATCCTGCTTAAATTTTTAGGTGTATATCCATCCACCCATTGTTTAAAAAAGTAAAGAACGGGTTGGTGCCACGGGAACATCAGACTGGTGATCACGGATTGCTTTCAGGGACAAAGCCAGCTAAGGAGCAATTGCTGGAACCCTTCAGCTACTAAAATGGCTTGTATCCAAAACAATCCCTCTCCCTTCACCCAGCAGGTGATCGGCATATACTGCAGTAAGTTCCTCGTTTACCTTCTCAGTGCTGAGGGCTGGGGGCCTGAACAGGCGAGTCTGCTGGGTTTTTACGGTCTTAGCATGCAGTGCTCCTGATTGCTAGGCATTCAGGACCAATGGGAGCTGCAGGGAGAAGCTAGGGAGAGCAGTCAGGCCTGGGCACGCAGAGGGGGGCCAGGTACCCAGAACGAAAGATGTGCCAGCAGCAAATGCCTTTCTGCGTCCTGACTCAGCCTAGCCAGTCGCTGCTGCTGTTGCTGTCACGGTTTGGCTGTTAGGCAACCCTGGAAACCAAACCCTTCCCTTGACCCACACTCAGAGGCCTGGGGACTGCGGATTCCTCTCCTGCTTGGAGGCGCTCCCAGTGAGCAGAAGAAACGGGGTCCACTATTCTTACATCAAACACAGATCGTATTTTAGAAAACTGTGGGAGCAATCAAACCATTATGAGGAAAGAGCCACCCTGTTAAGGTGAGTTTGAGGAAGAAGGTTTAAAATGAGGGAACTTATCTATCTCACAGCCAAGTGAGGCTTGTCACTGTATCAATCACCAAGAACATCTAAAAGTAGAAAAAACAAAAAAGAAAAACTACTTCAGTGCACTAAAATACTTGAATTTGTGTAGCTTCCAAAACTTACTGTTCAGTACATTCTGGTTCAAGAATATGACAATCCATATAAATTAAATGGACTATGTGAACAACACTTTGCCTCAGGGTAGCACACGCTTAAAAATCAAACGTGATTGCAAAATAGATCATTCGAAGTCTTCATAAAGGATTCTTTTTCCAAAGAAGCCACAATTCTCTAATGCTGACTATAAAGTTCTACACTAAAACGCAGCTGCTGTTTTGAGGAGTCCTAACAACATCGCCGTCACCATGTGTCTGGAGATGACACAGCGTGGCAGGGGCAGGGCCTGCACGCCGGGCGCCTCACCTGGAGGATGGACACAGTCTGGGAGAAGTGGTGCTGCTCCATGGTGGACGTGGAGTAGAGAGCTGCCAGGGGGTGGTCGAACTTCTGCAGGTAGCTGTTACTGAAGCCCCTGTGGTCCAGGTCATGACACAGACACGCGATCAGCAGCCCTTTGCGCTTAAAAAAAAACAAAAAAAAAACAAGAGTGCCCGCAGGTTCAAAACAAAGAAACGGGATGTGCGCAGACTTAGAGCTTCTCGGTCCCCTCACACTGACACAGATGGGGCCAGCATCCTCACAAGTCTTTGAAATTCCAATAGTCTAACTTCTTAGTTTTTCTGCAATGAACTTGACAAATTACTCTTCAGTTTTCCTGCTCAACTCTGGGAAAAAGTGTATCAAATTAAGGCAAATTAACGCAGAGTCAAGACAGATAAAGCACATCTGTACAGGGGAGGACAGTTTTGCTTCTTCATTCAAAATTCTCTCATGTTAAATTTAAATAATATTATTGTTGTTATAAATACAAAATGGGGTGAGTAAATCATTATGGCATGTGAAAAATGGCAAATTATACTGAAAAAGGGAAACAGCAGAGCAGGCTGCGGTAGGAGGGAGGCAGAGCAGACCACGTGGAGTCAGGGGAAGCAGGGATGTGAAGCCGAGGAAGAGAAGCAGGAGGTCCTAGAAGAAGAGGGCCAGGGGGTCTGGGTGCAGTTGGGGCAGGTCCTTGCAGGTGAGCCTGCCCTAAGCAGGGTCAGGAAGGTGGTGGGGCTGCAGGGAGTAAAGGACAGAGAAGGGCAGGAAGAGGGGCTAAAGATCTTATAGGCCTTCTATTCTGTGTGAACCAGGGAACGACTACAGGGTTTTTAGCAGAGATTTTAGGACAGGGTTTTTAGGGGTGAAATCATGTAACTTACATTTTTTTAATTTTATTCATTTAACTAACATTAATCTACAATTACATGAAGAACATCATGGTTACTAGATTCCCCCCTTCAACAAGTACCCCCCCACAAACCCCATTATAGTCACTGTTCATCAGCATAGTAAGATGCTGTAGACTCACTACTTGTCTTCTCTGTGCTGCACATCCCTCCCTATGAACCCTCCACATTATAC